CCCGGGCACTCGCCCTCGCTGGAGATATCCCAGAACGGTCCGGACGCGATGCTGTGCGGTGTCCTCTGGGACGACCCTGCTGGAGAGGGGAGATGGGAGCGAGCAGAGCGCTGTGGTCTGTTCCAGCCTCGCTCGTTGTGTGAGGGGATCGGGCCGGTCAGGGGCTGTGTGAAGGGACCGGGCCGGACAGGGGCTGTGTGAAGGAGTGGAGGAAGGTCAGTGGCTCTGCGGTGCCGCCGGAGCCCCTCGGTCTCCACAATGTGTCCCGCCCGTCCCTCAGGCGCCATGTGCCGCCCGCGCTGGGGGGCGGTGAACAGCACTGGGGGCTGTGAGTTGCTTTCCCCCGACTTTCCAGACGAAAATTCTTACTTAGGAGAAAAAAAAAAAAAGAAATTAAAAACCAAAACGAAACCAGAAGAATTGAGCGAAAGTGAAACGCGATGACGGTCTCAGGCGGCTCTCGGTGTCCCCAGGGCGGGCAGCCGGCCCCGCCATGGCGGTGAGGGCCGGGGAGAGCGAGAATGGAAAAGGAATTGAATAACAAGGCACTACTAAATATCTTCGTTTTTCCTCATCCCTCGGGATGGGTGTCTGGTGCTTTGGGGAAGGTGGGTTTCTTTGTGTTAACCAGCGCTCTTAATGCACGCCGAAAAAATTGATATGTATTGATATCTATGTATCAATTGATATCTATGTATCTTCCATGTTTCCTTTTTTTTTTGGTTTTAAATAATAATCATAAAGTATTTGTTCATTTGTTTTAGCTTTTCCTTGGGAATCATGAACACCAGGCAGCAAAGCAAACTTATCTACTCCTGGTATGGAAAACCCTTGGCTTCAGACAGAAAGCTGAGGACTTCCCAGTACAAGTAAGTATTTAGTTCTCTTTTGCTAAGGAAACTTAATAGATGTTTCTTTACCTTTCTGACATCGTTTAAGTTAACTGTGACAATATAAGTAAGGTTTTGAGCATTTTGTTGTGACACTGTATTTAAGAAAAGCATTAAGCTCTTGAATGATAAACTGTATAGTGTATAAAAAAACATTTAACCAAATCTGTGAATAAGTTTTAACTAATTGGACAACATATGAAAGCTTCCAATCAGCTTCTAATTAAGTTGTAAAAAGTGGCATAACTAACTGTAAAGTTGACAGGACATCAGGTTTAATGATATGTGAATTATGAAGACTGTGAAATTCTCTTAATCTTGTATCTATCACTTAATAGGGGGATCGTTATTACATCAGAAAGCAGCAAAACAGAAACCTGTATACAGCTTGGTGACTTTATTTTAGTAGAAGGGATGAATGCAGATCAGCCTTATGTGGCACAGCTCATGCATTTATATGAAGATGGTAAGAGAACTAAAATCTTACTTTCTGTGTGAGATATTTTAAAATGTTTTAAAGTTACCTTTTTGATAGGGATGTAATTAGCATTAACAGTATGTCACTGGCCTAATTTATTAAGAAAATCAAGTTTTGGTAATCATTGCTTCTATATTCACATGCTCCCCCAAATGTTTGTGACTGATGGCTAATTTCAGTTAAATTTGATACATAAATGGAAATTTAAGCACATTGTGATTTTTACAGTCTTTTTACGTAATTGTCTAATTTAAAAACAGTGGTCCTTGAGGAAGGCAGTCTGAGCTCATGCTTTATCTAGAGATTGGAGAATCCAAATGGAGCAAGAGCACTGCAGCCCTGAAATTTGCATCTCATTTGACATCAGGCAATTTAACATTAAAGTACAAGGCTGAATAAATGGGACTTGTTACTTCTGTCCCTTGTAGAACTGCTTGTTTATACAGAGATAGATATGAAAAGAGAAATCATGGGAGGTGGGCGATACAAAAATTGTCTGAGTCTGAATTGGGAGCTACTCATTGGCTATATCTGATTCTTTTGAGCAGCTTTTGTTCTTTTTTGTGCTGTAATAGTAATACTTTGAGGGGTTTTAATCTAATTTACCTTTTTAAAAACAGAAATACACATTCCATTTTATTTATTTACTAATGCACTTTTTTGTAGTACAGCTGAATATTCTTTTCATGATGGAATGAAACCCATGAAACGTCCTTAATAACAAGCTATTTCATCAGCAATATTCCCTGGTTTGTCAGCCAGTGAAAAAAGTGTTTCAGGCTTCTGAAAGTACAATGGCACTACAAATAACATCCTGAAATTTTTCAGTTCTCCTTTTATGTCACTGCTTTTAGTCAGGGTTTGAGAGATCACATCTGTGCCAATAAGGAGCTTCTTTTTTTGTGAGAGGGAGCTGCTGGTCTTCAGCTGATTGAGACCCTGTGCAGGTGTTACTTTAGCCCTTAAAATTCTCAACTCTGACAATTTAGCTTAGAGAATGGGACTTGCAATCTCCTACCAGATGCTTTCTCTCCTGTGTCCAGGGAGGATTTCTACCCTGGCTGGCATTTCAGCTGCAGTCTGGCACTGTTCACAGTAAAATCCTGGTGTTCCCTGGCCCTCTCCCTGTTGCAGGTGCCCAGCACAAACGTGCAGTGGTGCAGTGGTTCTGTCGCTTGGAGGAGATCCCTCAGAACAAACGGAGGCTGCTGAAAAGAGAGATTCCTGCCCAGGAGGTGTTTTTTGATCAAGTTCTTTGCTATGACACCGATATAGCTGCAGAGACCATTATCAAAACTGTCATGGTATGTACTGCAAGCCTTCTGCACAGTGGGGGAAGAAGGAGACAGCAACAGCCCTGTGGTGTAAATTAGACACTAAGGATTGCATGAGTTGCAGTAATAAGATCTGTGAATGGAAAATAGCTGAATTCTAAGTTATCAGTAAATATTAATGTATGTGTGTTTTGATATTTCCTGTTTTTGCAGGTATTGCCACTACATCTGGGTGAGGAGCTGCCTATTATCACATTAAACAAGGAACAAACTTTCTATGTCAGGCAGTCTTGGGATGGGAAGTGCTTTAAGGTTTTGTCCCCAGACACATTCTCTAAGCTGGAAGAAGCTAACAAGAAAAGAGGTGTCATCACAAACTCTTCAAAAGCATTTACTCCTTCAGACATCCTTACACCTGTGAAAAAAGAGACTGAGAGTGTTGCTCGGAGTGCCACAAAACCAAAAGACGCTGATATGGAAATAGAATCCAAACATTCCACTTCCAAGTCCTCCCTTGCTAAGGAGAGGCATTCCCAAAGGGTGGCTAATAATGACATCAAAACCCCAACAGCAAGGAAGAAGCTGGAGTTAAACAGTATGTATATGGCAATATTCTGTCCATTCATAGTTCTGTATATGCTTTGTGCTTCTCCCTTTTGGCTAATTTGAACTATTGTAACATTCAACATCAATATTTTTAACTGCCTTGTTCAGCCTTTGGCATCAGCCCAAGCCTTGTAGGCACATCACTTGTTTGTCTTGTCTGTTGTTTCAAGCACTCTACTGCTGCTGCAAATGCTCTATTTGTATCTGATAAATCTAAATGAAAGTGCTTGTTGACTCAAATGTGACCAGTCAGCCTCACTTGATCTCAGAATGCCCCACTTTCTTTAATCTTCCTGCTAATTGTGTACTAAAATGTTTACATTGAGCTGGTTGAATAAGCATGTTTGATTCTGTAAAACATGCAGTATTTTCAACATGGAACCTGACTGAAGTTGTAAGTGATGCAGGTGAGTTAGAAAGCTGAAAAAATCTGTTTGTCTTCCTTTTGTTTAGTAATTATTTAGAGGAAGTGCCTTCTAGTGATCCAGTTCTGTGTTACTGAAGTGTAAATTTGCTTTCATTTAAACAACAGTCAGCTGTACCATGTCTTCTGAAAGTTAACCAACCCAGCCAGATTGAAGCCTGACAAAAGTTCATTTTGCTTTTCATTTCTAGGTCCCACAAGATCCAAAGCCAAGCTGTTGGGATGTGAAGTTTTGGGTCTTTTGGATGATGACTGTGATGCCATAGCACCACTAGAACCATCAGCCCCTAAAAGAAAAGTGAAATTCACAGGTGAAATTTTAGGCTCACCACCAAAGATCCCCTGCAGCAATGCTAAGTCCAAGCCAACATGTGAGACTGCAGAGCACCATCAGAAGTGCAGTGACACCACAAGATTGTCCCCCTACACTAAAGTCAAAGATTTCAGTGGAAAAGACAGGAATCTTGATGAGGAAGACAACATTCTGTTACCGTGAGTGACAGCATTTTTATCATGGTTTTTTAATGGGATTGCTATTCATATCAAGCACACTTCTGGAGAAAAAAAAGTAGGTGAAGTCTGTGCATGTGCCAGTTTTGCCTGTTGAGAACAGGGAGAGAAGGGAGAGAGCCTCAGCAGTGACAAGAGCACTGTGATGAAGCACTAGGAAATGTTACCTGGAGGTGAATGAATGGTCAGGGAGATCCAAAGAGGACTTGACTTCCCAGATGGAAAAGCAGTTCATGATTCCAAGAACAGAGAGATGATGTTGGAAATGGGAATGGTGGGATGATAGGAAAGGAAACTGAAGCCATGTTGATGGTT